AATATTACCTTTGGGGGAGATATGTATACTTAACATGACCATATTGTGTTTTAACTTTGCAGACTCATTGGGTATTTTGTCTTAGAGAGGTGTTGCTTAGGTAAGCTTCATCAAGGTATTCTTAATAATAAACTTATGCTTATATCATAACTGCTTACCAGTTTTTGATGCCTGATACAATATCATGTTTGATATATTAAATAGAAACTGTTATGAAAAAGAAGAGAAAAAAGTTTCAAGAACATAAATGATCACATAATGCATATATAGATACTTACACTGGCAACAACATTCTGTTTTGTATTAACAGGGAATTAAATATTTGTTAGCTGAAAAGCTACATTCCTTTCATATTCAAGGGACACTTGACAGAGTATTGCTACTTGTTTTACTTGAAAAACAAAGGAAAAGAAACTGCTTAAGAGTGAATATGTGTGTGTGTGTGTGTGTGTGTGTGTATGTGTATGTGTGTATAATCTCCATTCCGTGGATAAAAGTTAAAGAAGTGGGACTTTAGTCTAAAGGGGGAGCCTGAGTTGTTGTTGTTTTTTTTTTCTATGAAAGGTATCCTGAGAAATTGTTCTTTATGCTCAAAATGACCATATGTGGGAAAAGAATGGCTTAAGATTAAACAGGAATGGTGATTGTTAGACATAAATAGGATTTTTACATAAAAAATAATATCACTATAATAGGTTACAAAGTATGAGATCTATATGTAAATATATTCAAAAAGAAGGTAAATTGATTTTTTTTAGTGTGTTTATTAGATGTTTATCTATATGAAAGCAGAGGTTCAAAAGAGGTAGTTTGGACTTTTGCTACCAACCAAGATGTGATAACAGTGACAGGATTTATTCTTCCACTTAAAGTAATCATAATACTGGGCAACACATTTGAAACATGGATTTTCAGGACATTGGAAGATAGGCAAAGAAGTGCATGAGGAGAGAATGAATGACAGAGAGGATAGAGTTGGACAGAAAGAGATTTCCAGAGCTCGGCAGCAGGTCCACCAAAGCCTTACTCAGAACCTTACTCATCATTACAGGCATGTGAGAAAACTACACTAAATGGCCAAACTCTTCCACCTGAAAGAACAGATGGAGAAACATTCAGAGCTCACAGAGGGCTGTGAATAGTATGTCCTCATACCAGACAGAGTAGAAAACTGGTAAAGAACTCAGAGGGATTTTCCCATGGTGCTAGGGCAAAAGTAGCCTTAGATTAAACCATGCTTTAGCCCTATGTGCTTAAAAGCAAAATCCAAAAAGATGAAACTGTTTTCCACATAACTTAACTCTGGCCCAGAACAAAGTTCAAGAGTATTTACAATAATACAAAAATATGCAACTCACAGAAAGTGAAATAGTAATATCTGGCATCCAATCAAAAATTACCAGGCATTCAAAGAAGCAGGAAAATAAGACCTATAGTAAAGGAGAAAAATCAATCAATCATAACTAACCCACACATGATACAGATACTAGAATTTTTAGGCAAGGACATTAAAACGGTTGGTATACCTGTATTACATATATTTCAGAAGCTAGAGGAAAGATTGTTCATATTAAATAGAGAAATGAAAGATAGAAATAAAAAGGAGATAAAAACTATATCTGAGGTAGAAAATACATTAACAGATTAGACACTATCAAAGAAACCGTTAATATATTTCAAGACATGGCAATAGAAACTATCCAGAATGAAACACAGAAAAAATACTGAATAAAATGAAAAAAATAGGGTGATTTATTGGGGTCTCTCTTACCTTTACAAATTCATAACATGAAATACAGATAGAGCCATAGTAAAGTACAGAATTTTGTCACCTCTCACAAGTGGCCATAATTGATTCTAATCCTTGTCATTTCCATAACCTATGAAAATCCTGTACCATCCTGCTATTTCTACAATTCCCTGGGGATTGTAGTCCTGCTGCTTACTGCTCCTGTTGTCACTAGTTCACTAATTATCTACCCAGAAACTATACACAGCCCTTCTCTACTTTCCAAAAGAAATAAATGAATAATATTACTGGGAATATAGGTCAAATGGTGGGTCATTTAACATTATATATATCATATCCCCTTGCCATACCAGCTCCTCTGCTCTCATTTCCCCATTTCATTCTTATTTGAATTGATCCTGAGAACTACAAAATTTTAATCTCCAATGAAAACAAGTTCCATCCCTTCTGGATCTTATTCCCAAACTTACACAGCTAGGCTAATCAATGTGCTCAAAATAACAAATTGACTTCCTTGTACGTAAATCCATTTTAGAAGGCAGTTGAATAGATTATGAATAGGGTTTTTTTTGTTTTGTTTTATTTTGTTATATTTGGCCTCAGAGGAGAGATAACAACATTTCTGATTTCTTTGTTACTTGTGACATTTTATCTACATTAGGGACTTGTAAATATATTATATTGGAGATAAGTCAGCACTATTTACCTTACTAAATATAGACTTGTGCACTAACTGAATAATAAAAAGAAAAGATATTCCTTATTTACAATGAAGTCCAATTAGTTGTGCCAGGGGCATTTGATGGTAGAGAATAATAATTCAGAATATCCTCAATCCAATAACCAAACAGCACAATTCCATTGTTGGCTGTTGATATATTTAAAGGATAAATCCACGATGTGGCATTCATCATGGAAACACTCAAACTTTTGTGTGTATCTGGGAACTTAACTGGCTTAAGGGTCACATATCATTAGAGAATATCATGTTCCAGAATTAGAAAAGATATGTTTCTTGTGGTACCCATTTATAGATTAAATTGTCAGTTGGCTTATCTTTAAAACAAAAATTCCTTAAACATCAACGTAAGGAAGGTGGAGTATGCTGTTAGTTATGGCAGATACTCCCCTACTCAGCAAAGAGAATTACAGCCTGACTGACTCCATTTTCAGTTTATCGAAAGATCATAAAATGTGTTTATAGTGCTACCAATATTATAGGGATTCCATATAAATGTGACTTCGAATATACCTACACAGGAGTAACTGTGTACTCAATGCCAGAGTGGAAGTTTCTTCATGGCATAAATGGGGAAATGACTCATCTAATTACTAAATTCGCATAAATGAGCCATGAGAGATTTTATAGCTTCTAGTAGGAAAGTTCAGCTATTTGTGTGTGCTTGATGGAGGAATGCCTCTCTTCTTAAGGAAAAATTGTGCCTTCTCCACAAGCTGTAACTTAAAAAGCCAGCATTGGTCAGCAATCTAAGAAGTTGCCTCAGTCAAATCCACATTGACCATGACTGCTGTGCCTCACGACTCAGTCAGAGTAACTTCAAACCCACTTCATTCAGGTTGTGTGAGGCGGACAATGCTTGGGGCCTCTCACATACTCCCCCTTTTTTTTTTTTCACTAAATCCTGAAAGATACTAGTGAGATAGTGTTTAATAAGTCCATTTTGCATTTGAGAAAAGTAAAGCTCAGGAAAGTTGCATGCTACACTATTATAACTAGATAGTGTCAGTCACGAGTCTGGCTCTATTCACTCCGACTACACATGCCAGCTCTTATTACTTTGCCATTCAGAATGACAATCCCCATATTGACAACTCAGAGCAAGAATACTACTCTATAAAAGATCTATTATTTTCCCACCAAAACCTGTTTCCAGAGACACAATAATATAAGTAGTCTCCCTAAATGAAACTCTTCAAGGAACTCATAAAAGTCCGCTTATCTGAATAACGTGGTCTGGATTGAGTTATTTGTTATTAGTGAAACATTTTTCTTTTTAGCAGACTAGTCTAGAAATTTCCATTTTCTTTCCACATATACATTCTGATTCCAAATAATCAACAGATGAATAAAGCTTTAGAAAACAACTCAATCAAGTTAGAATCTCTTTCTTAGTTAAGTAATAAGAAAATATGAATTATTTCCAAAATATTATTACAAAAACATGAATTATATATATGTGGAAGATAGTTACTGAAAAATAGTAATATGGAAAGAGGTTAAAATATAAACACTCTATATGTGCAATAATATGCTGAAATTCACTTAAACATCCAAGAGGTATGTGTCCTTTGTTTTTGTATAACAACTATAAAAATATGTGTGCTAACACCTTCAGTTTTATGATAATGAAAGAACAGTGACATAAGTCTCTTTAGGTGTGGATCTTAACAAAGACAGTCGACGCTTCCCAGGTCACCATTCTTCACTGGGAAAGATACACCTGAAATGACATTCATGCCAAGTTTCTCAGAAAAATGAATTAGATTTTGAATTTAGGTTGTGTCTCCAAAGAATGCAAAGTAAGTTTCAATTTCCAAATTAAGAATTTTCAACATGTATCACTTCTAAAAATACATTATTAATCTTATTAAGCAGTTAGATGTATATATTTTCATTTTATGAAAAAAAAGCAGCCATAAATGATTTTTCCCCATTATGCAGCTCCATTTGTGGGGTTTTAACAGCAACTTCAAAGGATTGTCAAGACTTATGAGCAAATATGATTCCTTAAGAAGCAATTGACATATACTACAAGAGAGGTTGGGCAAGGAAGACAGATTGATTTTGGAATGATAAGGAATCTGAAGGATGTGATATAGGTAAAACACATTTTATAAGTTCGTGGGAGGACTGCTTGGTAGATATTAAAAAATACTCTAATGAGATTCCATAGAAATGGCTCTGAAATATGAGCAGGAGGATGGGCTATAGAAGGAAAAAACACCCAGCAGCCGAGATAAACAATAGGTCCAACAAACAACCACACTTCAGCAACCTGTTCTTTGCAATTTAAGTAAGGCCTGACCTTCTAACTCCACTATGTCTTGCAACAATTGATGCTCCAGCTACAGCTCTCACTTCCTTGGGAATTTCTGCCATGTTCCTGTTACCTCATGCAGTGCTCTCTGCTCCACTGAGGTGAGTTGTGGAGATGCCCCCTCCTTTCCTCATAGCAGCCTGGGCAGCAACACACTCCATGACAACTGCCATGAGGCTTGAGGCAAACCCATGACCTGCCTACCAACCAGTTGTGAAAGCAGTGCCTGTAGCCCTCCTGGATGTTCTCCAATTGTTTCTGATGTGTCCAGGTCCCATCAAGAAACTAGCTTTCTTCCTATCACAGCCCATGGTTCCAGTTCCTGTCAGCCAGCATCTTGTAGACAACCTTTGAGCTGCCATCTTCTAAGTTACCAGTCCTTTGGCTCTCAAGCACTGAGCTACCTGGCCTATGGGCTCCAACCCCTGACCTACCTGACCTATGGTTGTCAATCCAGGAACTACCTTTCCTATGATTGTCAACCTCTGAGATACCTGCCCTATAGATGCCAACCTCTTAGATACATGCCTGACTACTACAGGCCCATAAACTATACATACAGTGATTTTAACCATACTCCTCTTCCTTGATAGACTGTCTGTATCCTTATTAAAGATCAACATGAATAGCTGGAAACAGTTAATGCCTACTATCTTTGAGAGCTCATTCAACTTCATATCAATGGTTCTTCTTATTCTACTTGGGTTATGTTATCTCTTGTGATTCTATACTAAATCTCCTTAACAAGACTTTTCTTGGCTTTAGAAGTTCTTATCAATTACTTTCATTAAAAAAAAAAAAAGTTTGTTGTTCTTGACCTGGATGTAATGAATTTCCTCTATTTTCTTGCTAATTAGAGTATGGCTTGGCATACAGATTATGCTTTTCATGTGTTATTATATGTACATTATTTTATGTCTAGTTATTCCTCTGGGTTATGTCAACTGTTTTATGCAACATTGACAATTTTTTATTCTGGATTAATTATGGAGAATATTGAACTTGTCCAGAGGTTAAAAAAAATGATTCATTAAAAAGCATCTATGAAAAAATAATAAGTATATGGAGCAATGTGACTTGGTGACTCTCACAGTGTCAATGCAGTATATGGCTACATTTGGGGTTTCATATTAGGATCCTTCAGGTAATAGTAAATTTAGCCTCAGAGGGACTCTATTATTTAGAGTAGGTTTAGAGTAGGCAACAAGAGAGGCCGCGATAGTGAGAAGTCAGTGCACTGCAATGAAGAGTGGCCCCCACTTGCCGCAACTAGAGAAAACCCTCTTACAGAAACGAAGACCCAACACAGCCATAAATAAATAAATTTAATTAATTAATTAAAAAAAAACTCATCATAACTTAAAATTCATCTCAACTTAAAACTGCCATATCTCACTAATATGACCCTTTGCCAAAAGTATTTGATGTTTATAACTAGGCATTAGGGCTTGATTTTGATCAATCAATGCTGACATAAGTATTTACTATTGCATGAGGAGTAAGGCAAACTACCACCTCTGTCACTTATTTAAATTACCATGTTAATCCTCATCACCACTCTCCTGCACCAAAATTATTATTATGCTTTTAAATTACTTCAGGGAATAATTGAAATTCAAATTCAATCTGTATGTTTTAGAACTTATGTCCCATTTTACAATAATTTACTTGATTTTCAAATATTTCAGGTCTTCTGTATACCAGTTCCTGAAGAAAAATTATAGAAAAAAAGATTTATCATTTATTCTACATTTCAAGTGACAGACATTTTATCGATATTAAACCTAATTTTTCTCACAAGTTGATAGGTCTTACCTCTGTCTTAGTGATGAAGCAACAGCTTCAGTGAGATTAAACTTCTTGCCTAAGCTCTCATTACTAAGCGAGAGAGTCAAAATTTGAACTCAAAACTATGTGAGAATGAAATACCACAAACTCTCAGATGTAATTTTTATTATTTTGTGTTAATTTTATGATATCCTCAAGCAATCATCTCTAACAAAATATATAACTTCTCAGCATGTTTTTGTTTGTGTTTGTTTTTATCTCAGGCTACTGAGCCAGGCAACTACATGGACATATGAAAAACATAAAGAAAGTCTCTGTATTGGGAGGAATTACAGATGGAATCGCAAAAAATGAATTAGGACACATGTCAGCTAGGTATGTATTTTGGGTCTCTCCTGTGTTTGGCATACATATATGGTAAATAATTGATGATTCAAGGCTTCTCGCAGTTACATGTTCTGCATCTAACTTACATTTTAATTACTGATGGTTATTGATGAGATCATATTTAGCTCAATAACTAGCCTAGCTTCAATGGTGTCCCAGTTATCAGACACATTTTAATAGAAGTTCTATGAAGAGAAATCTATTTTCACCATGGGCCAAAAGAAAGATTTTGTTTTCTTTATAAAAGTCATACATAGCATGCCTACATGCTGAGGAAGAGATTTTACAGACTAGTTGGTTATCATTCGTTTTCTTTTTTTTTTAATTTTTCTTTTTTTTTATACAGGTGGTTCTTATTATTTATATCTTTTATACATATTAGTGTATATATGTCAATCCCAATATCTCAGTTCATCACACCACCACCCCTACTCCATACTTTCCCCCCTTGGGGTCTATACATTTGTCCTCTACATCTGTGTCTCTATTTCTGCCTTGCAAACAGGTTCACCTGTACCATTTTTCTAGATTCCACATATACATGTTAATATACAATATTTGTTTTTCTCTTTCTGATTTACTTCACTCTGTATGACAGTCATTAGGTCCATCCATGTCTCTACAAATGACCCAATTTAGTTCCTTTTTATGGCTGAGTAATATTCCATTGTGTATATGTACCACATCTTCTTTATCATTAGCCTACCAATGGGCATTTAGGTTGCTTCCAAGACCTGGCTATTGTAAATACTGCTGCAATGAACATTGGGGAGCATGGGTCTTTTTGCATTATGGTTTTCTCTGGGTATATGCCTAGTAGTGGGATTGCTGGGTCATATGGTAATTCTATTTTTAGTCTTTTAGGAACATCCATACTGTTCTCCATAATGGCTGTATCAATTTACATTCCCACCAACAACGCAAGAGGGTTCCCTATTCTCCACACCCTCTCCAGCATTTACTGTTTGAAGATTTTCTGATGATGCCCATTCTAACTGGTGTGAGATCATACCTCATTGTAGTTTTGATATGCATTTCTCTAATAATTAGTGATGTTGAGCACCTTTTCATGTGCCTCTTGGCCATCTGTATGTCTTCTTTGAAGAAATGTCTATTTAGGTCTTCTGCACATTTTTGACTGGGTTGTTTGATTTTTTAATATTGAGCTGCATGAGTTGTTTATATATTTTGGAGATTAATCCTTTGTCCATTGATTCGTTTGCAAATATTTTCTCCCATTCTGAGGGTTGTCTTTTAATCTTGTTTATAGTTTCCTTTGCTGTGCAAAAGCTTTTAAGCTTCATTTGGTCCCATTTGTTTATTTTTGTTTTTATTTCCATTACACTAGGAGATGGGTTAAAAAAGATCTTGCTGTGATTTATGTCAAAGAGTGTTCTTCCTATGTTTTCCTCTAAGAGTTTTATAGTGTCTGGTCTTACGTTTAGGTCTTTAATCCATTTTTAGTTTATTTTTATGTATGGTGTTAGGGATTGTTCTAATTTCATTCTTTTACATGCAGCTGTCCAGTTTTCCCAATACCATTTATTGAAGAGACTGTCTTTTCTCTATTGTATATTCTTGCCTCCTTTGTCATAGATTAGTTGACCATAGGTGTGTGGGTTTATCTCTGGGCTTTCTATCCTGTTCCATTGATCTATATATCTGTTTTTGTGCCAGTACCATATTGTCTTGATTACTGTAGCTTGGTAGTATAGTCTGAAGTCAAGGAGTCTGATTCTTCCAGTTCCATTTTTTCCCCTCAATATTGCTCTGGCTATTCGGGGTATTTTGTGTCTCCATACAAATTTTCAGATTTTTTGTTCTAGTTCTGTAAAAATTGCCATTGGTAATATGATAGGGATTGCCTTGAATCTGTAGATTGCTTTGGGTAGTGTAGCCATTTTCATAGTATTGATTCTTCCAATCCAAGAACATGGTATATATTTCCATCTATTTGTGTCATCTTTGATTTCTTTCATCAGTGTCTTATAGTTTTCTGACTATAGGTCTTTTACCTCCTAGGTAAGTTTATTCCTAGGTATTTTATTCTTTTTTGTTGCAGTGGTGAATGGGATTGTTTCCTTAATTCCTCTTTCTGATCTTTCATTGTTAGTGTGTAGGAATGCAAGATATTTCTGTGCATTAATTTTGTATCCTGCAACTTTACCAAATTCATTGATTAGCTCTAGTAGTTTTCTGGTGGCATCTTTATAGGATTCTCTATGTATAGTATTGTGTCATCTGCAAACTGTGACAGTTTTACTTCTTTTCCAATTTGTATTCTTTTTACTTCTTTTGCTTCTCTGAGGCTAGGACTTCCAAAACTATGATGAATAATAGTGACGAGAGAGGACACATTTGTCTTGTTCTGGATTTTAGAGGAAATGATTTCAGATTTTCACCACTGAGAATGATGTTTGCTGTGGGTTTGTCATATATAGCCTTTATTATGTTGAGATAGGTTCTCTCTATGCCCACTTTCTGGAAAGTTTTTATTATATATGGGTGTTGAATTTTGTCAGAGACTTTTTCTGCATCTATTAAGATGATCATATGGTTTTCATTCTTCAGTTTGTTAATATGGTGTGTCATATTGATTGATTTTTGTATATTGAAGAATCCTTGCATCCCTGGGATAAATCCCACTTGACCATGGTGTATGATCCTTTTAATGTGCTGTTGCATTCTGTTTGCTAGTATTTAGTTGAGGATTTTTGCAACTAAATTCATGAATTGTATCGGTCTATAATTTTCTTTTCTTGTATTATCTGTGTCTGGTTTTGGTATCAGGGTGACGGTAGCCTAGTAGAATGAGTTTGGGAGTGTTCCTTCCTCTGAAATTTTTTGTAAGAGTTTGAGAAGGATGGGTGTTAGCTCTTCTCTAAATGTTTGATAGAATTCACCTGCAAAGCCATCTGGTCCTGGGCTTTTGTTTGTTTGAAGATTTTTAATCACAGTTTCAATTTCATTACTTGTGATTTTTCTGTCCATATTTTTTATTTCTTTCTGGTTCAGTCTTAAGATTATACCTTTATAATAATTTGTCCATTTCTTCCAGGTTGTCCATTTGATTGACATAGAGTTGATTGTAGTAGTCTCTTATGATGCTTTGTATTTTTGCGGTGTCCATTGTAACTTCTCACTTCTAATATTTTGATTTTCATTTCTAATTTTATTGATTTGTGCCCTCTCCCTCTTTTTCTTGATGAGTCTGCCTAATGGTTTATAAATTTTGTATATCTTCTCACAGAAACAGCTTTTAGTTTTATCGATATTTGCTATTGTTTTCTTTGTTTCTATTTCATTTTTTTCTTCTCTGAACTTTATGATTTCTTTCCTTCTACTAACTTTGGGTTTTGTTTGTTCTTTCTCTAGTTCTTTTAGGTGTAAGGTTAGATTGTTTATTTGAGATTTT